TTTTTTTTTTCGTGTTTTCTCTTCTTCACAAATGGAAATTATCATTTTTCTTGTTTAAAATTTTTGGCGGTGATTTATTTATGTTTGATGTATGTTTTGTAGGCGACCAGTACCCACTATTCCCCCCCGAATCCCCGACAGACCGTACACTGGACGTTTGAACTGAGTGACGACAGTGCACCCTAGTTTAATCCCTTAAAAGAAAAAGAAAATAAATTGAATTCGTCACGGGGAGTTTTCCTGGATCCATTGAAACTGGAGGAATACGTTGAGGATGATGATCCTGGGGTGATGCTGACGAAGATGATGGAGAACTCGAGGAAATACTGAGGAATCGAGGAGAAATTCAAAGACTGCGAGACAATTCCCCTCCCTTGAGGTTCGTAGTTCACTATTTGTTATTGAAGATTTTTTACCCACTCCTGAGATCATCTGGATGCTCCAGATGATGATGTGCGAGCACTAGAGGACATGGCGCGATCTTCGAACTGGTGAACGCTTTTTTGAACATTTTTTTGAGATTTTTCTTTCACTGTGAGAGAGTCAAGTGGAATTATCTGGGAAACGCGTGGCTTCACGGAAAAATAGTATTTTATATTTTTTGTGGGGAATTTCTTAAGCTACAATAAATTCTTATGCCATTTTTTCGTGACACCACTTGTTGACGAGATAATGACGGGAGATGTAACGGAGTGGGAGATATCGAGTCATTTTTTCGTGTTCTATCACTTCACTGTTGCCTTTAATGATTAGTCGACCATAATTTGATGTAAGATAATGACAGATGACTCAGTTAGGATAGGACGAATCCCCTGGGTGCAGTGAACATGTGATTATTTCTAGTGCTCTTGCAGTCATTACAAAATTTATGATTAATTAATAATCAGTATTAGAGGGTTTATTATTAATTTTCGACTTGATGAGAACAATTTGCCTGGATTTTTTGCACTGAGACAAATTTATGTGAATAATCCCAAAATATTCGACTATTTTTTGTAAATATTTTTTGTTGAAAATTGGGAAAATCGAGAAAATCCACTCAGAGAGGAGCAATTATTTCCTCTGTGTTATCTTCCTCGCAAAATTATAAATTGTAATAATTCATCACGATTTTTCCTCAGTGCGAGAGATTAAATTATTCTAGCACCGAATGTGATAGTGCGAAATTTTAATTTCCCAATTATGTTAAATACCGATAAATCTTGATAATTATCCATCCCACCCGAAATAATCATGAAACCTTTCTTGTTGAGAATTTAATCAGCTTGAAAAAAGTCCTCTAACATTTTCCCCTCAAATCGATAATTATCGAGAAAAATCAGTAATTAACAGACTGTTGAATTCAAATTTTGCAACTTATCAATTTTGCTGCTGATTTTATAAAAAATTCATGAAAAACGAAATGAAATTGAAAACCTAATTACCTCTAACTAATGAATAACGTCAGGAGATAGGTCCCCAGTAATTAAAATTTGTATAATTTTTTTCAAATTTAATTTATTAATAATCGCGTAATTAGTGTATTGCAATGAATATTTAGTGGAGTTGCTGCAATGAGTTCAGTGCGATGACTCGACGGTGTACATTAATTTCCTATTGGAAAGATGCTTGCAACTTGTAAATGAATTTCTAACTAATTAAGAAGGACAAAATGATAATTGTTAGTATTAACGTTTAGGAATGGAGACGTCGATGGCAATTTTTTTTTTTTTTTGTATTAAAGTTTACAGCCGGTCTCCCGGGGCTGCAAGGCACCGACTGACGATCAAAATGTACCTACGATATTTGTGGAAAAGGAATAAATCATATTTGAGTACAAAACACATCACAATTCATTTAATTACGCGATAACCGAAAAATCCAATAATCATTTCATTTTGCACTCCTCAAATCTCCAATTATCTCCTCACCGAATCTTAATTCAATAACTTAATTCTTTATTCGACGTACAAACAATTGATCAATGAAAACGGGAAAGTACACGTTTCATTCCATTTTTTTCCTGTCAATTTCCCTCATCACTTCACCGTTGATCTTCTGAAACTCTGAATTCATTATTTCCCAAGTCTTATTCATGATCTCCTCCAGATTCTCTTTTTTCATTCCTTCAGTTGATATCGGTGGAAGAATCCTAATATAACTGGTCCCTAAAATAAATACAAATTCCAATTAATTCTCCAATTAATTCCCCAATTAATCCCCCAATTAAATCCCTTCATTAAATTCCGATTGATTTCCTACAGATGAATTAATGAATGCATCAATGGAATTGCACCATGAAAATTATCTCACCAGAGCCGAATTTTTTTCGTCGATCGTTGATGAAATAATATTTTGAAACTACAACAGGTTGAATTGGCGTTTGCGCAGCGATGGCCACGTGGAAGGCGCCTTTTTTAAAAGGCTTTAAAATACTGTCAGAGTGTCTCGTCCCCTCCGGAAACAGCATGAGTTTGGATTTCTTCCCCTTGATTACCTCAACCGTTGAATTCAACGCGTCCTGTGCATTGGTTCCTCTTCCACGATTGATAAATATCGTCCCCCACATGTAGGCAGCCAAACCAAAAAGCCCCGAGAACCAGAGGATCTCCCTTTTGGCGACTACTGTGCAGTTGTCAATCACTGGCCACAGCTCAGCTAAAACTGAATTGAAACATCAATAATTACTTCAATTATTCCATATTTTTGCTCGTTAATTTGATAAATCCAGGAATTAACTCTCATTTATCCCTTAATTCTTGGGGATTAATCCATGAATTGAGGATTTATCACAGTGTTCTTTGAGATGTTGCAATATTTTTTTGGTTGAGGGAATAAAAGAGGAAGAGGAAGAGATGTTATCTTACCTCCAAGGTCTAAACCGCTCTGGTGGTTTATAACGATAACAGCCCCAGATTTTTTCACGACATTCTCCTGTCCCTGAACGACGAACCTCAGACCCAGGAGGTTCAGAATTTTCCGCAATTGCCAGGCTGGAATTCTAGAAAATTGATTTTAAAAAATAGAATGATTTTTACAGATTTTTTTGTGTCTTTTGTCTTTTAAGTCTTGGGAACTTACAGAGCATTTCTCCAATCTCGGGGACGCAGGAACATGAAAGGCAGTGGCCAGGTGGTGGCAAAGGCACAACCCAGAAGAAATATTATAAATTTCAGTCTGTACCTCGCAGCTTCACTCAACGTGAATATCACAACCAGAAGAAACACTAGAGCAAGACCAAGAGTTCCACAGGAGATGCTGATCATCTTTATCATTCTGGAGTTAATAAACAAATTGAATGAATCACCATGACATCGAGTAGAATATTTCAGTTTATCATTTTATCGAGATCTGATGGAAAAAATGTTGAATTTCATTTTTCTGCACGAAAGAATCGCTATCTCATTCGTAACCAATTATTTAAAATTGCAACAATCTTCTGATAAGATTGGATACTAAAATTGTTCTTATATAAATTCTGCACACGATTGACGGTTTTTTAAATAATAAGAAATAGCTGAGTTCGGGAATTGAGTGATGTTTAGAGAATTGAGATCGTAACTCCTAATCCTCTCGATTAAATTTCCCGGAGTTAGCAGTGTCGATTAATCGCGAGGTATTTATTAGCCTCCGATGAAAACAAATACATCAGAATCTAGAGCTCAGGATTAACGATATTTTTACGACTATCTGAATTATTCATCGTGATTAAATGATTTTTTTTTCAGTCGTTATCGGTTGAAATTAATGTTTTTTTCTACATTTGATTTTTGATCAAAGTTCGGGGAGATCGTTAACGATTTTTTATCGTAGGAATAATCATTGGTATCATATTTGTTGATGAGGATTTTCTATTTTAACATTTTATCCGACGATTTGTTTACCTCTTTCTGACTTTAGAGTGAGAATTCCATCGTTTTTCTCTCACCAAATAAAAGATGAGTCACATCCAGTGATAAATTTCACTGCAATCATCACTGACATCACCTTTTCCAGTTCTCACACTTCATAGAATAAATTCTCCACTTCAATTATCCCTTCTAATTAATCCCCAATCCCTTGAAATCAATTATTCAAGTCCTTAATTAACTCCCGAACTAAACAAATAAATAATAACAAAATGGACTTTTGCTTGCGTTTATTTTCTCGATAAATTTCAATTAGAGTTTATTAATAATGTTGATTAAATAAATTCCCTGATTTCTTCTGGATCGTAAATTCCTAGATGAATTCCTCGTAATTTCCACGTGGAAATTTATTTCAATTACACTTCTTTGTATTCAAATAACTTACGTCCGATTGCGTCACTAGATGATCGTCCAACAGCAATTCGTCAACTGAGGACCATTCACTGGTGTCTTCAGGTCTGGAGATCTATTCGTCATTTGCGCTATTTCAACAAATTGCCCCCACCACCCTGAGATTCGATTATCAAAGGTCCTCGATAATCAGGTAATCAATGATAAAAATCATTTAATGAAATCACTCCGCAAAAATAAATCCCAATTTTTCCTCTCATCTCATGATTTCCCACCCCCTGAAATTATAATTAATATTAATTAATACAATTTCGTCAACTAATTAATTTTAATTGTTGCAATTATATTGTTATAATTATAAATTGATATATATTTTATTTAATTGATGTTATTTTCAACTTTTCTATTTACATATGCTTCAATTTTATTAATAATTTTATTATAAATAAATATAATGTATATTATTATTGTATCCATGATATTTTTTAAATAAATTACCGCCCGCATTTCGAGAGTTATTGATACGAACAATGAGAAAGCTGAACTTTCTTTTTTCAACTGTAGATGGCGCCAAATTTGACAGTGAGAAAAAATCCCTCCAACCGTTATTTCAATTCTGTTCAGAGAGTTCCGAGATTTCTCATAGATTTCTCATTTCCTACGAACACCAGTTGTAGTTAGGTCTAGCATTTTCTCGATGTAAAATGACAGCTCTGTCAAAAGCTAACGATATAATCCCCAAGAATTCCGTGGATGCATCAACAAAATGTGACAACACGAGAAAATCAGGAATTCCATGATTTTGAGGTTGAGTTAGTGAACAATGTGGAAATCAGAAGAATTCATTGTGACAGAAAGTAGTAATCAGTCAACAATGACGTATTCCTTGATAACATGACGAATAAACTGGAGATATCTCTAGGAAGCATGAGTGAATCGAGTGCAAAAACGTAAGACTGGGGATTAAACAAATTTCGTTATAAAATTCTAACAGTAACAATGAAAATCGTTGAGAGATCCTGAGAATCTCCCAAAATCTCTCACAATCAGAGAAGCTGAATAATAAATTCCCGGATTCATCATTAATCTCTTAAAACTACTTAAATATTATTTAATTAAATAAACAATTAACGATGTCGAGTGCAGTAAGACCAACTGTTTATTGAAATCGTTAAAAATCGTTGAGCAAATTAATGACCGCAAAGAACAAATGAAAATTCTTAATCAAAGAATTATCAAAAAATCGGAAATCAATTTCCAGAATGAAAAATCCATTCCGCATAATCATTAAGACCCCAAAGTACAACAAAATATAAAAAACAATTCATCAAAGCGAAAATAAAACCGTGAAACGTACAAAAGTAATAAAAATACCAATTAATCAAATCAACTTAATCCAACAAATAAATTAATTTATAACCGATAATTGTTCGATAATTATTGAAACTAGTGAATTGAAAGGTAAAGTGCAAAATAGAGTATGGACTCCAGTGATTAATCAGTCAGGAATAATTAGGATATTGTAATTAAGTGGTGGTGAATTTTTTTATGTTGTGAAGAAGCTGTCGAGCTCGTGTAGAATGGCACAACAGGTGCAGATATTTAATAATTGTGAAAGATTGACTGTGGAATTCGTTGATCAAGCGAATGGTGTAGTTAAAAGAATTGTCTCCATCGGGTTCCACATTTTTTTATCAACGACCAGTCATTTTGTTTATCACGGGGAAGCCCAGATTCTCGACGGTAGACACTCCGTTAAATTCCACAGAATTGATTTAACCGCTGTAGACATATGTAGTGACTCAAAAAATTTATTTATCATCGATGAAAATGGGCACGTGGTGAAGATCAACCCTGACACCCTTGAAATTCTCGACACCATAATCCTGAGGGACGAAGTGAAGTTTTGCAGCCATGGGTGAGTCCATTAAAACTCCAATGAATTTTTTCCAAATTTATTTTCACAGCTCCAGGCGTTTTCTTTCATTTCTCTCACATCAATCGGTTAAATTTTGATTTTTCGTTGATTTTCCATGAATTTGCGTTTTCCCATTTTTCACCATTCACCAGACAAAAAAAAAATCCATTTTCCATCCTTTTCACCTCCTGTGATGACCTCTACGGCATCCCGAGCTGCGGTGACAAATGGAAAATTCGAAATTCCAGATGCAAACAGGATAACGAGCCCTTGAAGCTGCGTTCCCTGTCGACATCATCGATATCGAGTCTTTTTACGACGGATTCAGGTCAGCTGTGGGCGTCAGGCTCGCACCCCCAGCTGTCGTTGTCCTCGTCCACCCCAAAGCCGGTGATATTCTTCGACGGTCGTACAATCGCCTCGACATCCTCAGGGTCGAACTTCCACGTGGCGATCGCGCGTAAAATACCAAAAACTCCAAAAGACGACACAGACAGTGAGAACGATCCTGACGAGGTGTTCGTATCCTCGTGTCCCCAATGCCTATCGGCAATGCGTCCCTCACCCCAGAGCCTCACATCCTCAGACACATGTCCACTTGCCCTCCAACCCCACCAGTACTCCTCAGATCAATCCATGACATCTATCACACCCCAGACCCACTCTCCCACTCCCTCGAAACTCCTCAACGGTCATCGACAATCAGAATCCTTGAAGGAGGAATCCAAGAGGAACGTCATCTTCATCAATACCGAGGCAGCCCGTCAGTTCCTGACACGACAGCTCTCGTGGGTATCGTCCTACGGCAATGTCAAGGAGGAGACAGAATTGTCATCGAATCCTACAGGACTGATCAAGCAAAACGTCTCCAACATGGCGAATCTAGTGTACGAAGGCGTGAAAACAATGGGAGATAAAGTAGCGACACTCTCACGTCATGTCTCAGGATCATCTGAGATCAATGACATACGCGATGACATCACTGGAGACTTCGAGGACCTTCTGGAGGACTTGAAACCCACGGGGACCAGTGTAAGTCTTGCTCACAGCCTTCGATGCGAGGAGTTCCCCTGGTCGTCATCTACGGGATCTCTGGAGCACGAGCTCTCCCAGCAAGGATTGAACGAGCGCATCAATTCTCTCGTGGATATTGGCACTAGTCTTCTGTCTACGGAGCTCTGGACCTGGGGGGACGTGGCCTTTGGACAACTGGGAACTGGGGACATCATCAAGAGGCCTAAACCCGTGCTAGTGACGAAGCTGCATAATTTGGGAGTTAAGAAGGTGTCGTCGGGACTCTATCACACGTTGTCATTGACTCTCGATGGAAGGGTCTTCGGATGGGGCAGGAACGACCACTTCCAGGTGAACTCGGACTCCAATGTCGATCAGAGCTCTCCGAAACTCATATCTCCGTCTACCTCAAAACGTGCCAGAGACATATCAACAGGGGACAAACACAGTCTGATTGTCATCGACGACGATCTCTTCTTCGTCGGCAGTCCATGCCCGGGTAGTGAACTGCCAGAGAACGACAGCGAAAATAAAGAGAATAGAGTTAGAATCACGAGACTGGATACCCAGGGCTCTATTAAATTCATATCATCGTCGGGTAATTTCTCTCTCTGCTCAACGACGACCTCAGCTTCTCCTGGAATTAACGATGACCTCAGGGTAGAGCAGGCGTTCCTCGAGGAGATGATCACGATTCATCAGAATCTGATAAAACCATTTCAGAAAAAGGCTGGAGCCACGCAGGAGGCGAATGTTTATGACACCCTGTGCAGATGTTATTCAGAATTGCTCTCCCTTACTGCTCTCAATGTTTCCACCCTCGAGGATTACTCCAATCAGATCGGCGAGGCCTACGAGGTGTCTCTTGTCTCTCATTACGAGGAATTCATTACTGTTTATAAGTACTATCTCAATGCAATTTGTGATGTCGTTAGTCTGGGGGGATTTGGACACATGGGGAAGATGATGAATGATCTTCCTGCAGTGGTCTCTAGACTCTTTGAGTCGTCAACTGGTGATCACCAGAAGAAAACGCAAGAGACCATCGCCATGGCTCTGCAGTATCCTCTGATAAACCTGAATAGGTAAGAGTAAAAATTGTACGGAAAAAATTGCTTAATTGATTTATTCATCAATCAATTTTTTTCGACAAATCGATATATATCGATTTATTCGATTTATCAATTCTATATATCAATCGATATATATCAATTTTCCCATTTATATCAATAATCCATGTATTTTTTATATAAGGATAATGTCTCAATATCATGTCTTGCCAGATTAATTAAATTATCGAAAAATAATTCAGATGTAATCGACTAGAATCGATTAATCGAAATTATTTTATCGATATATCGACATGTTTTTCTCGATTAATCGAAATATTTTTTTTTATGTACATTGCAAAATGAATCTATTTCGATTAAGGAAAAAAATTTTGAGCATATGTAAAATAATGATTATTGAATTGTTTATTTAGGTACAAAAATATTATTCAAAGTCTAATCAGAACGAACGGCAGCAAAATGGGAATAGAGCGACTGCAAGAGGCCCTGGTGAAGTGGGAGAGGATAATCGATGATCAAGAAAGAAGAATACGAGAGGCCGAGATGACAAGGGCATTCTGGGAGAGTTCAGGAAAACTCGTGGAGCTCCTGAAATCACCAGAGAGACGTCTCATCAGAGAAAGCCGAAGCCACCCAATATTTCTCCTGAATTCAAGTAGATTCTCATCCCACTGGTTCATCCTCCTCACCGACATCTTCATCCACGCATCAGGTGCCTCCCACACAGTCCATCAATTACCGACTCTCTGGGTGGAGCTCGTGGGGGATTCCGAGGTGATTCAGAACGCCATATCCATCGTCACACCTGAAGATTCATTTGTCCTTTACACCAATACCACGAGTGAGAGGAACGAGTGGTTCCAGGGATTTCAGGGCGCCATCAGAAACAGCCTACCCCGGGTAGTAGGAACAACACCACCGAGGGACAGATCCTGCTCTTACCTCTTCCTCAAGCATCCAGTGTTCAAGGACGCTAAGTACATCGGCAGATGGAGCAACGGAAAGGTGCATGGATTTGGGAAAATGGAGTGGGCTGATGGAAGATTGTACACTGGACAGTTCTACAAGGGAGTAATCCAGGGTAATGGAAGGATGGAGGCACCGACGCAGGGTATCTACGAGGGAATGTGGCGGGAGGGTTTGCAGTGCGGTTTCGGTGTCTTCAGGTACATCAACGGGGATGTATACGAGGGCCTCTTCAAGGAAGGTCTTCCTCATGGTCATGGCAGCAAGAGGGAGGGTCATTTTCTGGCTAGTGTCGCTACTGTATACATCGGGGAGTGGGCAGCTGGTGTTAAAAGCGGTTACGGGGTGATGGATGACATAATGACGGGTGAAAAATACTTGGGATCATGGAGTGGAGATATGAAACACGGCTGTGGCCTCATCGTCACTCTGGATGGTATCTACTACGAGGGGGTCTTCGCTCAAGATGTCATGACAGGCCATGGAGTCATGGTCTTCGAGGATGGTACACACTACGAGGGTGATTTCAAATCCGCTGGGACTTTTGGGGGTAGAGGTGTCCTTACATTTCGAAGTGGTGATCGATTGGAGGGCAGTATTAATGGCGCATGGAATGAACCTGTCAAGGTCACAGCTACTCTTCACATGTCGAAAGCATCGGGTCATCAGGAACCCTCCAACAGGCCACCGTCATTCGGTAAATTATGCGTTCCACCGGAGCAGAAGTGGAAGGCAATCTTCAGGCATTGCTATCAGCAGTTGGGGCTCATTAAGGAGGCGGATGAGGGGCTGAAGAGGGAGCGAGGGGAGAGGGGGGAGAGAGAGACATCAGAAAGAAGAAGTGAGACTCAAAGACTCTGGCAGAACGTCGCCGTAATCATCAACAAGTCCCAGCAGAGATCTTCAAATTCGAAAAAATCGAGTGATTTGGCCAGGGCTGATCGAGATAAAAACAGGATCATCACCGAGAAACTCATGAAAATTCCGGACCTAGGGGATAAACTAACGAGGGAAGTCTACAAGGAGATCCATGACTATCTGATGAATGCATTTGACAGTCGTCATCATCCTCTGGGGTGTCTTCTTCAGGAGCTCTCCGGTGTTTATACTGCAACCTATGGAGGTGTCAGGGTGCATCCTCTTCTGCTCTCCCATGCTGTGGCAGAGCTTCACAGTATTGCTCTCAGGATTTATGAGATTGTCGGTCTGTTCTTTCCTGCTCTACCACGAGGTGGCGAGGAGTTTGTCCTCGAGGACGATGGAGAACAGGGAAAAGTCATCTCTGCAGCTGGTGTACTACATCCTGTACTCCTGCCCAGGGTTCACTCAGCACTTTTTGTACTTTATGCACTGCATAATAAGAGGGAGGATGGTGCTTATTGGGAGAGACTGATCAAGTGGAATAAACAGCCTGATCAGACCTTGATGGGATTTCTAGATGTTGATAGGAAATTCTGGGGGAAGATCAAGGACGATCAAGTTGTCAGGAGGGATGGGGGATTTGGTGAGGCTGTTGAGACACTTCAGCAGCTCAAAACCACTTTTTCACCTTTGGAGAAGCTGCTCGTTATTCGGAGCACTTTTGAAGCGATGACGAAGGTGAGGGTCTTTTTATTTCAAAAAATCCTCAATTCCCTCTTAATTTTAAATTACTCTTGGATTTTGTCAACTCAAAAATTGATGGTAATGATTATTTCGATTGGTGGTAATGATTATTGATAGTAATTATTATTCCTGTGACCGTTTAAAATTGTTATTTCAATTTTCAGACAGTACAAAAACAATTGGGCACAACTTATCTCTGGACAATGGACGAGTTATTTCCAGTATTTAACTTCGTCGTTGTTCGTGCCGGTGTTTTACAATTAGGAAGTGAAATACATTTCATCGATGATTTTATGGAGCCATATCTCGTCAATGGAGAGTTGGGTATCATGTTCACGACTTTGAAAGCTTGTTACTACCAGATACTCCAGGAGAAAATGAGTATAACAGATTAATTACCATACTGAAGTGTTTTTAATGAATTATAATGTGATATCTAGCCGTGCGCGACCATTTTCCATTTTAAATTCGTCTAGTTGATTATTTTCAAGTGTGGGACAAGCATAAGAAGAGAGTATGAAATTGTTAATAGAGTTTCAATCGTTGACGTGTCAAAACTATTCAGTTTATACGTAAGTATGGGAATTTCATTAATCGTGGATCGTTGAGGAATTCATTGTGGAAGTGTGCAATCTATTTTGTGATGAATGAAGAGGATATTTATTGAAATACATGAACAATTGTTTTTTGAAATTGTTGTGAGCGTTATTCAATTCCTTTACCATTTATTCTATTCTTTTAAAAGAAAAATGCGCTTTTATTACGTTTTTAATTGATAACTTGATTTTGGATTTGGAGATTAAATTGAAAGAAAATTCTGAAGCAAGTGTTAATGATCGAAAAAAATCATTAATTAATTCGAGTGCAATAATGTGAGACTCGGTAATCAATCTAGTAATTACAAAAAAAAACTCAGGAAATTGTTTTAACAGAGAATGAGTTAAGACCGATGGATTTTATGAATAAATATTTATTAATACATCGCTCGTTTACATTTTCATATCTTTTTTGAAAATACATGGGGCAGTAGTAAACCATTGAGGAATTACGAGAAAAATTGTTTAATTAATTCAATGTTTAAATGATTTTAAATCCCTTCTCCAATTTTTATTCTATCTAGACACGATCGCAAATTGATTATTTATTACACGATTATTCAATGAACTTACATCTAGCGTGTGAAATCATTTTTTTAACTGAAGAAAATAATAATTTCAAAGTGATTAATTAATTTTCCGGCGATTCCGGTGTTTAATTTGTTTTTATTCACTCGAAATGCAAATCGATATTCACCGATATAAATTAAGTAAGTGATTTGTTCGTTAATTGATGAAGAATCATTAATTCCAATAAAAATTAATTCTAGTTCAATGATTTCACAGAATTATAAATCCTACAACACAATTTCCTAATTTTTTTTCTCTTTGTTTGACGAGTGCTCACATTATCAACTCAATACAAATCATTACCAACTGAATTTAAACCGCTGGACGTTCATTAACTACGATTGTTTGTTTAATATTTACATTAATTAATGTGAATTGTTTAGTTATGGTAAGTTGGTGTGAAGTGGCTTCACCGGGTGTTGTTTATAACTCGAGAACCAGTGGTTTTAGGAGAAAATGTAATTAGACTTTTTTGTAGAGGAGAGAATTCTCCAGGAAAAGTTCCTCTGACATTTTTCTCCAGGACCAGCCGCTTCTGAGTTAATTAAGCAATTAGCCGGTGACGTGATATTGATCGTTTAATGAAATATTCGAGTTTTGTTGATTGTTTAATTATCTCGGTAACGCGTGGTTTTAATAAAAAATGTCAAAAAAACAAAATTGTAGGGAGTTTAGTTCCCCACGAAAAATGTTTATGACATTTTCATATTGGAGTACGCGTTGTCGAGATAATCAAGTAATTGAGATAAATGGATATTCCGTTTTTCATGGATTTCCACTTCACTGCGGATTTTCTGTTTGAAATATTATTCTGCGGTTTCAGCGATTCAGAAATGTACATACAAATTAGCTAAGTGAGTAATTAGTCTACTGGGGAATAGAAAGTCTGCTCAAGGTGGGAAATTCATGGAAATTCAGAAATTTAAACTATCCTCCAACAAAATTAAAAAAATCAAATTTCCTATCAAATCGAGAGAAAAATCGGCTCAACCGTTGGAATGTTCAAATTTATTAAAAAATGCACCGAAAAAATCTTAAAAAACCAAATAAATAAAAAATAAATGGGGGAAAAATAATAAAACACAAGACTCGCAATTTGTCGACTCAGGTGTAATCACCACAAAAAACACTCACTGAACCAAAGAAAAAAAAATCAACTAATTCCTCGAAAATCGAACAAAATTGACCAACAGCCAATAAAACCCATAATTCAAACATTTTCCTTTATTATCTCACATATAAATCCACTGTTACCTTCTAATTACGTTCAATGATATACAAAAAATTCATCCACACTATCTAAATGTCGAATGTTCGAAAATCATTGAAAAAAAAATTCAAAAATCACCTCCAACAATTTTCCCATCAAAAAAAAAAAAAAAAAAGAACGCTAAAGCCCACTAAAATATTCCGATCAATAACTCAAGTGCGAGAAAGTAGATTTGACAATTTAATCAGTGAAGTGGTGAAAAGTTGATGAGTCAAAAAATTCTGGGAGCATTATTTCGATAATATCGCAATTAATAGAGTACGAGGGATAAATCGAATGATTCCGAGTCCCCCCAGTCCTAGAAGCCCGAAAATAATCTCCTTCTACGTCTCCTGTAATTGAAAAAACCTCTGAAGACCCTCAATGACCCCCTGTGTAGACATCCCTCCATTCCCCTCTTCCCCCCAGGGCCACAAAATACTGTGGAAGGATAAAAAAACGGAAGTTCAAAAGGATAAAAATCCCCAGCGACATAAAAGAATTCCTGGCTATCAGAATTATGCCCGACACGAGAGACCGAGAGGCCCATGCCCCTCCTCCCTCCCACCTCTCCCGATTACCCTAATTTACTCAATTAATCGATAAATCGTCGATTAAACCTATTTACCTACTCATCTAACGATTAATTAATCAATAATTCGTAGTGGTAACAAAGAATTGAGTAATTAAAGATATTACCACCACAGCTGATGGAGAAAGAAAGTTTTTGCAGGTGAAGAAACGAAAAATTGAAGGATTCCAATTATTTTTCAAATTCCAATGTGTTTTTTTTTTCCTTTTCTTTCGGTATTTATAATATACTCACACACCACATGAGAGATCAGCTGAGCTCGGTTATGCTTTTTTTTCCACTTACTTTTATTTATTTTTCGGTTTTAAAACTGTTTTGCGATTTTTTTGTTAATTATTTTAGGGTTTGTTGGTTTTTTTTCTGTTTTTTTTTTCTTCTTCTCGTTATTTATGGTTGAAGATATTTATTCGCCAATTTGTCTCGTGGTTTGATTTACGGTTTTTTTTTATTTAAATCAAATCGGCAACATTCATTGGCATTTCATCGATGCGAGTGTGGTAGTGCTGCTCGATATCATTCATGGTACGCTTGTCATCAGTGGTGACGAAGTTTATAGCAACTCCCTTACGTCCGAAACGTCCACCACGACCAATTCTGAAAATATCAGTCATTTTTTTAGGATTTTAATGATTTTCTCCCGCTATTTACATTGAAAAAAACGTAATAAATGTAACAACATGTTCTTCACCGCTAATTATCTCCGCGGAGATCGTTACCAGGGAAAAATCCCTCAGAACATTTTTTCAAGGGAATTCAATTCCCCACAAAAAAGGTCTCATCAATTTTTTTCTCATCCCACTCATTACCGAGATAATCCACCAATCAATCATCCACCGTTTTTCACTCCCACTAATTTCCCGGAAATTCGGTTGTGCCAATCGCACGAATATCTCAGTAACGAGTGACGCCACGAAAAAAAGTCGTTAAACCTTTTTTGTAGAGCCTGAAATTTCCTCGAAAAAATGCCTCTCATATTTTTTGATAACTCAATTAATTATCGAGATAATAATAATTCAATCGAACCAACTCACCTGTGAATGTAATTCTCACGATTGGAAGGAATATCATAATTGATAACGAGTGAGACTTGCTGCACATCGATGCCCCTAGCAAGTAAATCAGTCGTGATGAGTACACGGGATGAACCAGTGCGAAACTGCCTCATGATGACGTCTCTTTCCCTCTGCTCCATATCTCCATGCATTGCAGAGACAGTAAAATCCCTGTTGTGCATATTCTCAGTAAGCCAATCGACCTTACGACGTGTATTGCAGAATATAACAGCCTGAGTGATGCTCAGAGTGTCATAAAGATCGCAGAGTGTCTCCAATTTCCAGTCCTCACGTTCGACAAATACGTAAAACTGTTTGATACCCTCGAGCGTCAATTCTTCCTTCTGCACCAAAATAGTGATGGGATCACGCATGAAGCACTTGGACACATCCATCACATCATTTGGCATTGTAGCAGACAGCAGGATCACCTGGACCTCCTGACACAGTAGCTTGAATACATCGTGAATCTGATCCTTGAAACCACGTGACAGCATCTCATCTGCCTCATCGAGGACAAACATTTTAATGCAGTGGGTGCGAAGGGCACGTCGACTTATCATGTCGTAGACACGTCCTGGGGTACCCACCACCACGTGGACACCCTGCTCGAGCTTACGCATATCCTCACGTACATTTGTACCTCCGATGCAGGCGTGACACTGTGCCTGCATAAAATCACCCAGAGCAATCACCACTTTTTGAATCTGCTGGGCCAATTCTCGAGTTGGCGCAAGAATCAATGCCTGGCAGTCGTTAACTGCTGTATCGATCTGTTGGAGGATGGAGATCGAGAAGGTTGCCGTTTTTCCAGTTCCAGACTGGGCTTGGGCAATTACATCACGTCCCTTTACACAAGGGAGAATCGCTCGCTGTTGAATAGCCGATGGCTTTTCAAAGCCATATGCAAAAATTCCCCTCAATAACTCATCCTTCAAGTTCATCTGGTCGAAAGTCTCGATGACCTGTCGAATAAATAATAATTCCATGAAAAATCGGGGGATTATAACCGAATATTATTTATTATAATAACAATATTATAATAAATATATTAATATCATCAAATATTATTCGAAATCATCGGTCACAGCCCTATTTCAATAAATCTGTGCCATCATCACATGATTCAGAACTCCTGTCATTTTTCTCTAAAATATCAAAAATATATGGATATAAAATCTACAATATCTCAGAATCTAAGAGAAATAATGAAATTCTTGTGGATATCTTTTTGTAGCTCTCGTTGCCCGCCGCAAAACAAGTCCTAACGAACATTTCGCTATCTCTCTTAGATTCAGTGATATCCCTCAAAAACTCAGAGCAATGCGAAATAGAGGATTGAGGTTATGTTCTGGTAATGACCTCAATTAATTAAAAAAATATATATGACTCACTGTATCCCAGTTGGACTCGATGACGCCTTCGGGCTCCATTCCCGGTGGTCCATCGTACCCCGGCTGTTCATTTTCTCGAGGACCATTTTTAGAATCACCCGTCCATTGATCCTCGTTTCTGAAAATCAAAAAAATATCCCACAATTAATGACTCATCCCCCAGACAACAAAAAAATTAATTTACCCCGACATGATACACTGCTATCTCCAATAGAAGAAATTATAAAATGCTATTATCAACTTGGTAATCTCGAAATAAAACAATCCACAAGAAGAACAAAAGGCTCATTTCGCTGGGAAAACAAAATGAAAACTATTTTTTGTTATTTTTCGTATAGATTTGAATTTTTATTGCAATCGGAGATGAGACTCGAAGAATTTTATTGTTTTCTGCACTGACTAGTGACAGGGAATGGAGTTTTAGTTATCGATTATTTCAAGTGCGCGTCGAGGATTTATCCACTTTTTCCGCTGTCAATGACTCATCGATTCTCATGGGAGTGATCTTGATGACGTGATCATTCAGAAAATTAACGTGAAAATTTAATTTAATTTGAAAACTGAAAACATTCACTGATTTTACAGATTATTATTGTTTTAATCATTTATCGTGAATGATTAATCGAAATTATTTATCGTCTCAGCCGGTTTTTTAGAATCGATTGGAAGATCGGATTGGATTATTTATTCGTATCTGGAATTACGCGAATTATTGAATGAGATAATATTGCAGATGAAATGGAGTTCTAAAAATTCTATAAAAATCGATCTCTCCCCGGAGCACTCGACAGCCCCTAAAAATCAATATCACCATCTGGCGTCATGAAACAGGAGCTAATGGATTTTCCCGACGATAGAAAAATGTTTAAAATCATTGAAAAATTGCTCCCCTCCCTAAAAAAAATATTTAAAACCCCTCGAAAATGTGGGACATCCCCGGATTAAAATCCACACAAAGCAATTCTATGCCGCATCCCCAAAACCCGAAATAAATCCTCGAAGCCTGAAATCTCTGAACTGACAGTATATGACTTATCCCTGACGAGTCATCGCCACTCGACTAATCATTAAAATTCCCAATGACGTTTAAACAATCTGAATAAACAATTCCGGGAAAATAAAATAAAAAAAAAATAAATAAAAATGCTAAGATCTCATTAAATCTCCTCAAGCCTCTCAAAAATATAAAATCCTCAAATTTCCAAAAACCGATTGTCTTCTAACCACCCGCAATAAACAATTTTAATCGTCCTGAAAAATCCGGAAACTTCCATCAATAATTATAAAAATCTAAACAATACTTAAAAGAAAAACAGAGCCACCAAAACCCTCAAAAAATCTCAAAAATGTTTTCCAAAAAGATTTAAAAAACAGGGAAACCCCCCCAAAAGGGACCCACACCCCAAAAAATGACAGCCAATCCGCAGAACCCCATTCCCCCATTCTCAAAAAACCCCCCGCCCCCATCATCATCAATTCGCATGTGTCCCACGATGGCTTCACATCCGGTTGTCGAAGCACGTGTCAAAAAACGCGATAAATCATTGGCAAAAAAAAAAAAATTCCCCCCCAAAGCCAAAAGGCCCCCCCTCCCAAAAAGAAACCCAGCGAATTGTCCCCCCAGTGGGAGTGGGTGTTAGTGAATTTAGCCGCCAAATTTAATCACCCCAGGATGGTGTTAAAAAAAAATGAGGTGCACGCCATGTTGTCAGCGTGCAATCGCACCGTCAGTTTGTCTGAGGCTGGTGAAAATAAATTTGCGAAAAAAAAGGCTAATTGTTGATTTTGCCGATTGTTCCGAATTTAGTGGTGACCGGGGGCCTTTCATTGGCACTTTAACGAGGTGTTTAAGAATTTATTTCAAGTATTCTACGTAATAATGAGGACAAACTTACCTTCGTTCAGACGAATACGACATGTTCCACTCACAGTTGCGCGACGGAAAGGACGAATTCCTATTGCGTCACTGGTATCAGTTGATTTTATTCCGCTCGAGGCGCTGTCCACAATTTTCTAGGGATTTTTCGACTTTTCGTTTTTTACTAGTGGCGGGATGATTCGAATTGTACAATTTAAAAAATATTTATTTGATATTCGTAGCTCGAACTCTTCATCGATTGATTAATCTCGATTGATTCTCGAATTTAATGAATTATTCAATTTTTCTTTTAGTAGTTCAAATGATTTGGGCAATGAGATGTCTGAGAGTCAGCTCTTCTCTGACTCACCGACTCAAAATCGACTGATAGTTTGAATTCCCTTCACAAGTTTTCTAGTTCCGAGGGAAAATTACAGGGAAGGGGAAAAGGGCTTTCACCCATAAAGGAAAATCGGTTCAGGTAGATTTCTTCTCGTTAATCCTTGGAAACAATAAACCCTGACCTGGGGAACCTTCCAAACGTCGGTCGGAGGGTGTCAGGTAATAAAAGGGACAGTTTCACTCATAAAATTCATCGTTTACCTGGGAAACCGAAATGAATACAATAAAAGCTGACATTTTTCCACGAACAATTTACCACCCGTGATTTTACGAGTAGCAGAACTCCATTCATTCAAATTTATTTCTTCATTCATTTGTATTTGCATTTTTGTATGCAAATTGTTGATAACCAAACAGTAAAGTTATTTATTTATAAATATTCACAATTTCCTCAGATTATTCTATTGCAATTTGATTGACAAATTAATCTCTCTTTGATTAATTCTCTCGTATTCAAACTGCCCGCTAGACTCTAGTGAATACCGCGAAGCATCTAGTGTTTTATCTTCGGTAATTTCCGACTGGGCGGGGGTGGGAGAATGCGCGGATTTCCGCGGGCGAGAGGGAGTGGGGGAATGCGTGGATTTCCGCGGCTGGGAGGGGGTGGGCTCGTCCCGTGATGCATTTTGTGGGTGTGCGAAGAACCCGTAAAATATAAAAATTTTTGCCTCGAACTCTCAAAAATTACCCACACCTAAATTAATATCAATAATTAATAATCGAATCAAAACACTCGTCTCTTCCGAAAATTATTTTATTCATCATTAACGCTCTTATAAATACTTTCTATATACTCCACTATTTACATAAAATTCATAGGTACAAAATATAGATTGTCTGACGTATATATACAATGACAACAATTAATTCCTTAAAGCCAATAATTTTCATATTTTCTCTCTGCACTCCGTCTCTTAATCAAATTTGTACAAAACAATGAAGAATTCTATAAATTCTCCAGAATTACTGGAATCCAATTCCCAGGATTCAATCAAGAACTGAAATAAAAATTCCTGCAAAAAAAAAATCCCGTGGGAATCCCGGGCTTTCCTCACAAGAACGCACAACCGAGAATAAACAACAGAACAGCAATAGGAAAAAATACGTAAAGTCCAACCCTGGGATGACAAACAGACAAGAGCAACGAGATGTCATCGTCCTCGTGCTCGATGCCATCCCTGGTGGGCATTTCCACGATGACTCTGTCATTAGACATGACATCCAACGTAAACGTGCACTCACTGACATTAACGCAGCTCTTGGTGACGTTTTCATACTGAAACGTCGGCTTCCATATATCAAATACAGCGTGAATATCATTGGACACGAAGTCATTGTCGCTGTAGAAGATGTAGTAGTAGTACCCATCCTCGGTGACATTGTGATGTGTCTGCATGTGAAGGCCAGAGCCATTGAAAAGATCATCGATGCTGTGGCAGTTGGTCTGAGGGAATTTTGCTGCCAACAGGATATTCCCCTCGTAGCAGTCGAAGAGGCCCTCCTCGAAGGACGACACCGAGGACTCATCCTTCTCGGGGATGATGAAGGCATTGCCACCGTGTTTCACACCTCTATCCAGCAGAGCTGGAGGTTTCACGGGCTCTTGACTTCGCTTCACTACCCGGTGAACAGTCGAGGGCTTGTACTTGTGGGAGATGTAGATCTTCTCACCCTTGCTGTCTTCCTCTGCTGCTACGTCGATGCCTGGAGACTCCAGCTGGGACTTGAGCTGTTGGATTTTATCGTCTGTTCTTTGGGATTTTTGCTTTTTTGAGGTCAACATCCTCAGATAATCCGACGTACGCGCGAAAAAATAATTTTTTTGTGTTGGGGTTAGAGGATTGGGAGCTGGAAGGGCAGTCGTGGGGATTGGGGATCGACGGGAACGAGAGAGAAGAGGAGAGGAGGAATGTCCAAGGAAGTCTTCCTTTTCTTCATTTTTAATTGATATTTTTTTAATTCTATTCAATTTCTCTGGCGATTCCACGCCTTTGAATTCACCCCCATCATAAATTTTTTCATCAAATCTCTTCCTCACGTGTCTAACCCGTCGTGAGACTTGGGGACCATAATTTTGGGATCGATTCGGAGTCTTGGAGTCTCGGGAGGAAATTAATTCTGCGATGTAGGACTGGACGGAGGGGCTCAGACGATTCAGAGTCTCGGAGGGGATTTTCACGTGCTCTGGAGTAGGATCAGGACTCGAAATCCCTGCAGATGGTGTCGGTAGAACCTCTTGGGGGCTGTCTTGCCCGCCGGATGCTCGAGTCTCAATCAATTGAGCGTTCGTCTCGAATGTTATTTTCACTTGGTTTTGCGCTGATGACAGGAATATCCCGTTTCGTCGAGCCTTGTTCTGGTTATGGTCCAGCAGACCACAAGTGCTCAAGGTCCTCTGGCCCTTCACCACGAGAATCGATGCCCCTGGTGACCTGTTAAGGAATTTTTATCGGTTCAGCTGATTGAATATTAATAGGAGAATAAATATCCTGATGTCTAGACGATATCCAAATTTTTCATTTAGGTTTTGTTTGAGTTTTTATCACTCCAGAGATCGATGAAGAAATAATTATTCACATCTGCTCTGTTGCAGTGATAAGAACTCGGGTTTCAATTCGTCTGTAGATTTCCACTAGCTGGGATTTATTGAAACTTTTAATCATTTGTGTGAATGTAATTTCATTATGATAAGGAAATTATTCGGAACGAACGTGTCAATTACTTTGAGCAAACAGAGAGTGCGACAGTCGCTCCTCGGAGAAGATAAAAGCCCCAGTATTCCAGGGTATCGTCAGGCAAGGTCATGCTCTTCTTCAGTCTTATGTGTTTGCGATAGGATGTTACTTCGGGTTTATGACCCATTTGGAAGGCGTTGAAGGTGCTGTTTGTCATCGAGAGTGTGTGAGCCTGCGGACATAATTGATGATTCTGAGTCATTATCTCAGTAATTATTCATCCCATCGAAAAAAATCAAGTATCATTTTTTTTAGAGAATTTCATTATCCAGAAAAAAGTGTGGTATGATTTTTTCGTAAAGTGATTTGGGTCAGAGATAATTTCAACTGTAGACAGAGCGGTTGAAGGAAATGGAAAGTAAAAAATAGGAATTCTGGGTTTTGATCGTTGATGGTGAGATAGAACCGATAGAACTCACGGAGCAAAACATTGTTGACACTCCATCGCTAATCTCCATGATATCCGATTCGGTGACAGCGTATATGACGTCGGCATACAGCTTGTGCCTCAAATAAAGCGGCATTACCAATAAAAATATCGGTACAAATGTCGTCAGGAGGCAGAAAATAAGGACCCGCTTTGCTCCGTGCATTTTGAGCGCCTGTGCACCTACGAGTTAATTATCGATTAATAAATCCTCCAGATAATTCAATCTGCAATCGACTGATAAAATTCAGACGTCACTTCTGACGCTCCCGAGTTCTCTGTCATCGATAAAGCAAATTATCTCGATAAATATCGAACCTACGTAAAAAAGGTATAAGACTTTTTCCCGGAGAATCTTCTGACCTGCAAAAAATCCTAATTAATTTTTTTTCCAAAATCAATTGTTGTCGAGATAATCGCACGAGTAAGAGCTGTGGAATTGAAATGAATTGTTTTATTACTGGATTTTATTACAGTTGATGAATTAATTGAAAATTCTCATTCTGTAATTACTGATGATACCCACCGTTAGGTCCCCCTCTGGATCCGGAATTTTTATTACTCAATCAGCTTTGACACAACCAACCGGACAGAGGGATTAGAGATAAGAAATCATTTGTTCGTGATAAAAATTACTCTCTGACGTAACGACAACTGCAATATTTCAATGACTCAAGCTGATACTCAATTAAATACTTTTATACACTTGGACCTGGTGTATTCTTTTATGCACTCGGACTGGTGTATTCTTCAACAATATTCGACTGTTTTGGAATTAAAATATTTCCTTGTTCGTTTCTGCAAAATATTTTGAATTTCTCGCGCTTCATCAGAAATGAATTAATTCACTGAGAATTCTTTTAAAATATCCCAGTCGAATGAATTTTACGCAAAAATCAACAACTCCAGGAATTTCTCGGTGAATAAATAAATAATTCAATTAATTAATAATGAAAATCCGGCGGGAATTGTTTTTTAAACCCCTAGTTTCAAGGGAAAATATTTCCTCATTCGAAAAAGAATTCCGTCAATTCTTCTTTTAATTACTCGATAATTAAATCTGACTAAAAATAAATAGATTAAAAATAACCGAGTGCGCAGAAAGAAATATGAATTGTCCCATTTCCTATTCTATTTCTCAACGATTTGAAATAATTACCTGACGATTTATAAATAGAATAAATGATGGAAACATATCGAGAGGAAAACGATAGACAACCGATTGCAACTAATTATAATTGTCATAGAATTTTAAATTCCATTCGCTCCTAAACTGGCACTATGAATTTTCATACTCACTTATCGATGGAATAATGAGAGATGTGCACCGAGCATTGCACGAAAAAAACGCCTAGTTTCTACATAAATATTCCGTTGGATGTTAACATGGCCGAAACCGATAAGATAAGGGACTAATTGTTTTCCCACTTTTTCCATTCGTGATTAAAAATTCAAAGTCAGTCGTGTCGACCTGACATTTCAGCGGCAACTGGATCTTCACATTTTCCTCTCATTGAAAAAAAGAACACGAACGAAATGACGAATGTAAACAGAACACGTATGTACACGTATATGTGACTGTGCGTGAGATTATTATCGATTTTTGTCGATTTTTTGGTTTGAAAATTCCCGCCCAGTGCCATCCCTCGGTTTTTTCCGGGAAACTTCGTTTCGGGTGGCCACCGATATGTGGCAGCACTCGATGTTTTAATGTTCACTCTGACTCTCTCAGTAATTTCAAGGCCAGAGAGGAATGAACAGTAAGTAAACATCATATCGTCATTTTTATAAGTGACTGACCATGAGGGGATGATTATTTCGGTTGTAGAAATGATTTTGAAATAATTTCTGGGGATTTAAGTGAGAGTTTCCGACGGAATGAATTTTTAATCGAATAATTGATCCTCAAAATATCTCAGCATCAATGATGTCGAGCCAACAGGACATCGTCCTGAGTTATCACGACGTCCTCATCCGCAGGAGTGATCTGAAAACCCTGGAGGATCATTCCTGGCTGAATGACATCATCATCGGTTTCTACTTCGACCACCTGGAGCGAGAAAAAGCCCAGGAATTTACTGGAAAAATTGTTCTCGCCAGTCCTGAATTAACTCAACTCCTAAAACTCATGGAGATCCAGGATTATCCAGGCATTTTGGACTCCAGGATAACCGAGAAAACGGATTTTGTGTTTTTCCCAGTGAATAATTGTGATGACAGAGAAGATCCAGGAGGTGCTCACTGGAGTCTTCTGGTTTATTCAAGGAGTGAGGCCTCGTGTTTTCATTTTGACTCCAGCACGGGCTTCAATCGAACGATTTCTCAACAATTCTCCAGGAAAATCATGAAATTCATGAATGGTGGACGGGGGAAAGGATTTGTGGAGGTCAGGTGTCCTCAGCAGGGAAATTCATACGACTGTGGAATTTTTGTTCTCTGTTTCGCTGAGAGAATTCTCGAAATTTTGAAAGCATCCGGACGAGTCGATGGCTGTGATTTGAGAGGAATTGAAACTGAAGCCAATGGGATGAGAGAGAAAATTTTGGAGTTGATTCGACATTTGAGTGCAGACGGAGAAAAATAAACGGTATTTTTTACTTTGAAATTTTCATAATCAATCGTCCAATCACAAAAAATCGTTTTCGCAATTCAAATGTTTTAGCCAAGAGCAATAAATAAACAATAAATTCACACATTGAGATATTGCGTAAAAATCAATTTTCAGTTTGGAAAACGATTTTGATTACTACGTTTTTTAGTTAATTTATGCATTTAGTTATGAAAAATAAATCATTTTTTGAGTGCAGAGAGTGAAAATCCCTCAAAAATTGATATTTTAATGAGATAATTTGAATTTCCCGCGTAAACCACCCCCTGTTGCTTGGGAAATTTCCTCTATTTCTTTTTTCCACGCACCTGGTCATCCCCATGAGCTTTTCCACCCTCAGTCCTTAGCGAGTAGTCAATAAGAGAAGGTCAAGTTAATGTCACGACCGAGTGCAGGTGAAATGGAAGTAATAATGGAGGAAATTGTGTTCAATGCAGTGCCTTAAAAGTAAAATTAAAATAAATATTAATAAACCGATGAAGAAAGTGAATCGATGGAACTGAACAGTTGGAAATTGAAAAGTTAACGGGACATGACCTTGAGAGTCAGAGTCGATGAGAATTGAATTTTTCATAAACAAACAGTACAAATCCCCAAGAGGACAGTGGAAACAATAAAAAAAAATGATTAAAATAATCAATAAACGCGAATTTGAATTGACATTAAAACGTGACATTAAAATAATAGAACAATAATTAAATAATTAAAGCATGCAGTAATAAATGTTTAATGTTGACTGGATTTTCTATGAAAAACTGAAATTTAAATATCAGAAATTGATTTCAAATAATTTTGATTCTTGTATCAAAGAACCAAGATTTATAAAAATTCATATAAACAATCAGTAATTAACAAGACTAATTAATAAACATTGATAATTGACCAACGATTTCGTTCAAAGACCAAAAAATAATAACATCCACTACTTGAGTGCTCAAATCACTAAATCAAACGTATGAAAATGAAATTTTATTGCTGACAAAGCATAAATAATTAGCAATAAACAAAAATAAACTCTGAATAATTAAAACCGACCAGAAAACTGAATTTTCCGTCTCAATCTTTCTAAACGATACAAAAATAAATTAAACCGCTGAATTAAATCGACCAAAAACTGAACAAAAGCAACATTAATCAAAAGTTTATAACAACCAATTAACGAGCCTCTCACCCAAAAAAAAAAGCCACAACTACCGGATATTTCCACGCAAAATAATCGAATTAACAACGACAAGTGCAACTGAACCGTCACAACTCGATAAATTCGAAAGATCAAAAGAAAAAAAAAAGAAGAGAATCCGTCACCACGACGAAATCCCCGCGACCCCCGCACTCCCCCTCGCCGCCAGAAAAATGTAAAATCCCGAGAAGAATGTGCGCCCTCTGCCCTCCCCCCCTCAACCTCCCCCGATTATGCACAACACACCTGATCCTGACCCTCTTCTCCCTCCCCGACATAAAATGCCAATTAAAATGGCTGCTTCTCTCCCAAAATCGTCGTGACTACGAGAAGAAATCCTCGGCCCTTCTCCAACGGCTCCAGAAAAAGCTGACCCTCCTGCACCTACCCCTGCCCCTCTACACATCCCTCCTCTTCTCCCTCCACTCAATGACGCAAAAGCTCCTCCTGTACCTGAAGCCCATCGCCTGGAGTCTCCAGAAGTCCATCCTGACCCCCCCACCTAGCCTTCCACCCCCGCAATATCGTCGTTCAATCACTCCTCGCTCCCTGAATTCCTCCAGCCATCCCCTGAAACCCAGCCCTGACCCTCCAACCATCGAGACACACGTGGAGAATTTCATAAATAATCTCCAGTGGACTCAGGATGGGGAGATAAATTCCGGGAGAACCTTCGAAATCCTCCACAATCTCAAGAAGCTACCGGAGACACCAGGAATCTACTCGGAGGTGTTTAATCTCTGCCTGGAGGACTGCATCGAGGACGTGTGGAGTCTGTCGCCGACTCCAGAAGGTCTTAAGCAATTTTTAAATGGATTGAATGACGATCTATCAATTCACAAGAGGGAGATCATTCCAGCATACTTCGTGTACAAGCACTACAACAGGATGGATGAACTCCTTCTGATTGTCCAGCGACTCCTGGACAACAAAGTCTACCAACGGGAGAAGAATTACCACAGGTGCTGTCGGCATGTGTCAATCGAGGAGAACATGTTCAGGTTCGCTGTTTTCAATGGGAACCTGTCTGGAGTCAAGTACTTCTGGAGGAGATTGAAGGAGGAAGAGAGAGAGCGGAATCTCCTGAAGATGCTGGAGGCGTCGCTGATGTCAGCTGGGAGTAGAAATGGCTGGATTGCTCCACTCAGGGTCCAGGAGTACGAGGAACACTCCGAGATATCGATCTTCCTCCTGGGGAAGGTAGAGCCGGAGGATCTGGAGGAGCTCTTCTGCCCGCTGGAGAAAAAACGGGAGTTTCTCATGATTCTTGGAGCTTTTGTTAATTTTCCCTGGCAGGAGTCATTCATCTGGAATGTGGAGAGGAATTTTCATCTTCTTCATGCCGAGAGCTTCAACTTCATCGCCGCTGGCACTCTTTATAAATCCTGGAAGCACTCGGAGACCTTTGGTGTATCCATCTTGGAGAACAAGTACTTCAGCTTTTTTCGGAGGATTTGGGAGAAGAGTTCGGTGGATATCAGGAAAAGCTATAGCGTCAACTACTGGAGGATTTTCTTTCTTCTTGGTAAATTGAAGGAGTTCGAGGTGGTCAAAGAGATTTATAGGGAGGAGGGGCTCAAGGGCAGGATGAGGGGTGCCCTCGATGAGGGCGAGAGGTGGTTCAGGGTGTTCTACAAGAGGGACTCCATGGGGTTCTGGTGGTGGTTCGAGGAGGAGGTCCTCAGCACTGATGGCGAGCGGAGGAGATTCCGGGGGATGATTTGCGAAATTCTAATGGAAAAGGAGAAGGATGATTTGTGGCAGGAGTACAAGGAGAGGGGAGAGAACAAGAAAAAAAGGGACGTCAAAGGGAAGAAGTAGGAGGTGTAGATCATCTCCTGGAGTCACTTCTTCAATTGGATCGTTCTGTTGGTGATCGTTCCCTTGATCAAAGCTAATCTTTGAGAGGAAACGGGAAATCAGATGCCGAGAATTTTAGCGGTGATCATGGAATTCTGAGAAATTAAAGAAGAAAGAATTTTATTCCGCATTTTTGGATGTTGCTTACTTCAAATTATAATGTTAATGTTAATGTAATGTGGGTGTTGATATATACCTCATGTCGGTGTGAGTACAAAATCTATTGGTAGACCCAAACATTTAGAGTGAGACGCAGAATTTTATATGTGTAGCTTTTCTAATTGTTGTTGTAGTTCTAAGATGAATAATTTAATAAAATATTGATGGACATTATTTCGAAGTCTCAATAATTCCTACAGAAAATAAATCATCCCTAAATCTCCTTCTCTTACATCCCGAAAAATCAAGTATCCTACATTATCGCTGATTGATCATTCATCCATTTACCGATTGTTGTTAATTTTTTTTAATTTTTATAACCGAATGGAACGAAAATAATCGAGAAATAAATTTTTGTTTCAGGAAATCAAATGAAGGATTTGTGAGGATTCGGGGAATGACGGATTTCGGGAAGGAGAAATAATTCGAGGTGTTGTTTACATCCGAATTCTAGGAATTGCTACCAGCGCCCCACAATCCCAACCATCACAACCGAATACACTAACCACTTTATTTTCATGATGTTATTGTCCCTCTCTCATCAGTCATGTTCTTGTCGGCGGAGCGTTCACAAGTGCCAGTCAAGTGAATTTGCAATAAATTATCGAAGACACGACGAGATTAAATAAAAAGTGCAAGTGACTGTGACGTGAGTGAACTCTCAATTGAATTCCGCAATTTATTTTCAACTGGATTTGTTTGGATTTCCAACCCCTGGATTATCGGCCTCCAGACGTCACGTGATAATTGTTGGTGAGTAGCTTATCGAATAAATTCAGTGATTAAACTGGTGATGAGACAGGTGGAATGAGGTGATTGTCGTAGGGGAATTGAAAAACAGGTGTTTTGAGGTTTAATATGAGGTCATTGATAGCGTTATCAGGAGTTCTTCGTGCATGAAATTATTGGGGACTTTTGATAAAATGAAAGTGATTAACTCCTTCGGTTTCTTCTGGTTATTTTTTTTTTCATTTTGGAGAGTCGTTTATATTTTATGTCGAAATCGTCACGCGATTCCGTTTTTACGATCGTCACGAAAATTTTTATCTTGTCGTTTTTACGAGGGAATACACTGATTAAATAAATATTCGCAACGGAAGTGTTTGTCTAAAGTCAGTAGAGAATTCTCAAGGTTGTAAAAAGTTTATAAAATAACACAGAGTTATCAACTCCGTTATTTAATAATTAATTGGTCCTTAGAAGTTTCAGAAATTGAAAAAGAAATTCCATCTGAAAATTACAGTTACATTATTACAAAATAATAATCAGTTCTATAACTACAGAAATTGTTTATAACACAATTAAATTGTTTTAAAAAATTGGATGAATTTTTAAACAATAATTTTTAAACAATAATAACGACATTTTCACTGCATTCAAAGAACTTGAAGAAATAGAGCACGTGAGGACACTAGAGCAATTTAAATCGCACCTGATAATTTATTCAGCAAGACCCATATTTCGTATTTCACTTAACAATTGTACTCATTAATTATTTCGTAATCAGCATAATGATAAGCCACGAAAACCCGATTTACCGGCTAGCATTCACTTTCAAAGTTCAGCTGGAAAAATTCCATGAAATATTGAACCGAATAAATAACGCAATTGCAGAATATTTTTTTAAATCGCAATAAAACATCTGGAAATAGCACTGGTAGCACGCGATCGATTCCAACATTTTATAGGGATGAAAACGACCCCCTCCCTCCCTTTTCACCCCTTGAGCCCGATAATCAATGCATTTTCCCTGTCTCATCCATTTCCACTTGATCTATTTTTGCTTCGAGCCAAAGCCCACAGAATCTAGTTCAATAAAACATTAATTTTGTCGTTAACTGCATGAATTTTCCCAATTGCTCGGCAATCGAGGAAAATTTTCGATAGAAAATCTTCAATGAAAACCCAAAAACCCCATCTTGCTCTATTAAATAATTTTTCCTGAGTAATGACGCACTTCGAGCATTTATAATAAAAATTCTTCTGGTGATGGTTCTTCTTTTATTTTTATCATTTTTTATCAGGAAAAACAAGTGCCAAATATCGGAGAAAAATTGACGATTTTCAATTATGAATATCTCCTGATGGAAAAATGACGTAAAAAATTTCACATTGCTGTTTTTTTGGATTCCATTCTAGATCTCTGTTTTACTTTCACTCATGTTGTGATTGTAGAACGTGAGAAAATTTTGGTGGGGAGCCGTTGTTGGGTAATTCCGGGATTTCGATCGGTTAACTGACCTGCGTAGGTCCCAGGGATCGATGTGCCCTCGACCCTTGGGGAAATTTCACTTTCTTTGATTCTTTCTTTGAATTTTTATCCCCTTGTAAAGAAAATTGAAGAGGATTAATAAATAAAATGCGGTACAATGAACTGAATAATCGGATTACAGGTGAAAATGGTACGTCAGGGGCTGGAGCGCAGTCCCAGTTCATCGTCCTTGCGGTCAGGAGTCACAACACCGACATCAGGCACTCGTGCACCAGTGACATCACCCACCAGTCCTATCTCACCCTTGTCGCCAGACCTAAATGGCACATCTAGGAGTGTTGAGATAACCTCGCCAATTTCACCAAGTGACTCTAGGATACCCCGACCATCACCAACGGCTCTGCGTCGTTCTTCAAGCATGCGCGTACGTGGTGAACGCGTGTATCATCATCATTCACGTACTGGAACACTTGGCTCCAGCACTATTCAGGGATATCATCAGAGGCACAGCGGGGGATTCCAGCAGTATCAACCGGATTTATTTCCCGCAATCACGGAGAATGGAGTTGATTCACCCAGACACCGATCACTCGTGAGTTATCATTCATTTTTTTATCTCTGGGGGATTCCCATGGGAATTCGTCAATTGAAAAATTACTTGATGGCTTTTTATAATTTGTCAATCATTTTCATTTGGTATTTTTCATCTTGAAAAGTTGGAGCTCAGGTTTTTGGGATGAATGATGGGAATGATGATGATGGGGATGTTGTTTAGTCATAGTATTTCCATGATATTTTCCTGTTGGAAAATCTGCGGAAGGATAGAATGGGTTGAGAATTTTATATTTGAGTTTTTTTTTTCGTTGATCTTCATAAAAATACTTCCATCTCGGGGTCCACTGGAAATTCATGCACCTGGAGAACTAGAGCAAATCGATAACACCCAGGACTCATCGTCCTGCGTACCTGTTGCCCCGTACCCCCTCCCCCCGAATTTTTAACTTTGAAAATTTTCTAAAAATCGGACGTTCAATTATTTTCTCAACTCCAAATCAATTTTGAATTAAACTAAAAAATCTATTGAAAATTTCCAAGTCTTCTACATTTCCTCCATCATCTCAGAATAAATACAGTGATTTTGTTTATTCGAATGATATAAAATTTAAAAAAATGGATTTTAATTTCCTTGACATTCACTATTGAATCGGTCAATCAAATCAATAAATTCATTAATCGATCCTTCTCGGCTGTCATACATTAAACTTTCTAGTTACTCCATAACAAAGGAAAATTGAATTTCCTGAAAATCTCGGAGCGATTTTCCAACGAATTTTTCGTTTACATCATCAAAAAATCTATTAGAATATTTTTTTTTCGTGAAGATGGAAATGGGGGAGATGCAGGGGGTATCCCGGCAATTTTTCCGAATTTTTTTGACTGAAATGTTTTTGGTCAACTGGAGGTGGAGAGCACCCTGACCTTTAGGGGATGATGCGTCGGCGCAGACGTTTCATCCCTCCTTTATTTTCCACTCGTACCCCAGGTTTCACTCAGTGTTTACGGAATCCCCCGTTGACCTCCGTCCTAGTGAGCACAGTGGCCTAATTATTAATTTAAAAAATGGATGAATAAATTAACAGTTCGGGAGAAACTGGCGGACATTAAATTGAATGTCCAGTTTTTTTTTATCGGTTCTGGGGTTTAATCGGTGAGGGTAATCTCAGGGGCTTCATGGAAAATTGGAGAACATTTTGTGAATGTCCAGATGTCGAATCCAAGAGATGGAAGAAATGCGCGCAGTTGTCCCTCTGTAAGTCCTAGAAAATCCTCTTCGAATTCAATAACGTGAGAAAAATCAGATCACGTTCCATAATTTATTCGTGACACTGCATAACGGTCAAAATGAACACAAGTCCTAATAAGTTTCAAATATTAATTATTTTTTCATGGACCATGAGTGGAAATATTGAATAAGGTCTTTTGATAACTCAATTTTCCCCTCGGGGAAGCCTTTGAAAGGCATCTCTGGGTCATTAGGGGTGAACTAAATCGTTCGTCTTCTTCTAGAGTTTATCACTGACACCAGCAAGGCCGCGTCTCCATCACGCGGCAGAGTCTAGTCATCCGAACGACGATAGTGACCTAGACAGTGTAAAGAGTTACGGTAGTGCATGCAGTACAGCAAGTGCCTGTGATCACGCACACTTCGCCCTAAATGGCACCACTTGGTCAGGACGTAGTCGAAAGTATGTGGTTCACTGCTCGAATCATAACACCGAGACTGGGGAGTACTTGACACCCACCCAAAGGGCTGCCAAACAGATTAGAAGGTAAGAAGAGGGTCAATGAGTCATTTCACCATAATCTTTGACAATTATTTCGGTCATTTGCAGTGATTGACATTGATTTACAGTCAACTGCAGTTAATGTCAATCAATTGGCATTGACAGTCATTGATAATAAAAGATTGTCAATGTCAATCATTGACAACCATCGGCAGTGATAGACAGTCAATGACAGTTAATGTCAATCAATTGGCATTGAAAGTCATTCATAATAAAAGATTGTCAATGTCAATCATTGACAACCATCCGCAGTGATTTACAGTCAATGACAGTTAATGTCAATCAATTGGCATTGGCGATCATTGATAATGAAAGATTGTCAATGTCAATCATTGATAACCATTGGCAGTGATTGAAAGTCAATTACAGTTAATGTCAATCAATTGACATTGACAGTCGATGACAGTTAATGTCAATCAATTGGCATTGACAGTCATTGATAATAAAAAATTGTCCATGTAAATCATTTACAATCATGGGCAGTGATTGACAGTCAATGACAGTTAATGTCAATCAATTGGCATTGAAAGTCATTCATAATAAAAGATTGTCAATGTCATTTACAACCATTGGCAGTAATCGACAGTCATTGATAATAAAAGATTGTCCATGCCAATCATTGATAATCATGGGCAGTGATTGACAGTCAATGACAGTTAATGTCAATCATTTGGCATTGACAGTCGATGACACTAAATGTCGATCAATTGGCATTGATAGTAATTGATAATAAAAGATAGTCAATTTCAATCAGTTGGCATCGGCAGTGATCGGTAATAAAAGGCTGTCAATGTTAATCATTGACAGTCAATTACAGTCAATGTCAATCAATTGGCATTGACGGTCAGTGACAGTTAATGTCAATCAATTGGCATTGACGGTCAGTAACAATTAATGTCAATCAATTGGCATTGACAGTCGATGACAGTTAATGTCGATTAATTGGCATTGACAGTAATTGATAATAAAAGGTTGTCAATATCAATCATTGACAATTAATGACTGTCAATGTGAGTTGATTGACAGTCATTGGCAGCCTTTTGACAGTAATTGTTGATCCATAGATACCAGACTCTGCTCAATGATGCGAAAAAAGAGATCGACGAGAAAGATCGAGAAATTTTGAGACTGACTAAGGAAGTTGTTGAACTGAGACTTTACAAGGCGTCCCTGAATAGTCCCGACGAGAGGACTGACTCCAGTGACGCCCTGACTGTCAAAGAGAACAATCCCTTCTCACCTGAGAGCCCCTGCAAAGATCTTCCTGAGGAGAACGGTGAGAAAAGCCCCACATCACCAGGAACACCTGAGAAGAGGGTCGAAGTCGATTTGACACTGTCTCTCGCTGATTCTGGACACTTCGAGGATGAGTCTATTCATTCCAAAGAGGAGACAGCAATTTGTCCGAGGATCGATGCTACTGATGACAAGGGTGAGGGCAATGAGGAGGAGAGGAGGAAAATTGTTGCTCTTTATGAGGAGAGAATCGAGGAAATGCACAGAAGACATGTCGATGAAGTTCAGGAGATAAAGCAGAAGCACAACGATAAGGTGAAATTTTTTTCTCTTAATTTTTCATCTATTCATTATTATTTCAATTGCAATTCCCTATAATTAATTTGCACAAGGAGGGAATTACCTCGATTTCATAGAAGATTTTTTGGGATAATTTCAATTGATCGAATGATGAAATTGTTGTTTCAGGTTGAAAGTTTATTGAATCAATTGCAAGACGTGAATACTCGTTACTGCGAACTCCGTCCGTCCATGGATGCAGCTCTGGTGAGGGTGAAGGAGCTGGAGGAGGAGCTGGAGAGCACGAAGACGATGTTGAACGAGCAGAAGACACTTTTGGATGAGCAGGAGGAGAGAAATAAGCAAATGTACCTGAAAATGTATGCCAAAGGCCAGGAAGCGGCTAGACTCGAGCAGGCGGATCAGGTAAATTTCAATTGTCATTACCCTCAGGATTTCGTTGGCAGTGACGAATGAATTGCCTTGTATGCAATTCTCAATTAAGTTTTTTTTTTATGAACTTTTCAAAAAGCACGTTAAAATTTTCGTTTATTGAATTATTCATTGCAATTTATCTTTTATTGTTTAGATATTCGATAACGCCCAGCAAGACACACCGAAAGTAACAGTAGCTGAATTACTGCAACAATTGAGCGTTACCCAAGCTGAATTGGAGAACATAAAGGTGAGTTGTCATTTTTTATAATTTAAACCGCTGCGATCGGAATGATAATGTAATGCTCAGGTGCAGGAATACAGGAATACAGGGTGTTCTCTGGGTGGGACGGTAGGCACTAGGCAAATTCTCTTGAAAAACCTTTTTATATAAACAGAAGAACCTGCGATAATCTCGAATCCGAATCGACTATTTTCGACTCATCGACTTAAATCGATTTAAATCGATTCATATAGACTCATCGACTTAAATCGATTTAAATCGATTCATATAGACTCATCGACTAAATCGACCAGTATTGACTAAATCAATTCATATCGACTCATATGGACTCCTGACGCCAATCAACTAATGTCGATCCATATCGACTCATCGACTCATTTCAACTCAAATCGATTCATCGACTAAACCGACTAATATCGACCAAATCAATTCATATCGACTAATCGACTCATATCGATGCATATCAACTCATGACGCCAATCGACTCAAATTGACTGATCAATTCAAATCGACCGTCTTAATCGACTCATATCGATTCATATCGAATCATATCGATTCATATGAACTCATATCGATTCATATGAACTCATATCGACTCATTTCGACTCAAATCGCCTTATCGACTAAATCAATTCATATCGACTCATTTCGACTCATCGACTAAATCGACCAGTATATATTGACTAAATCAATTCATATCGACTCCTGACGCCAATCGACTAATATCGATCAATATCGACTCATCGACTCATTTGGACTCAAATCGATTCATCGACTAAATCGACTAATATCGACCAAATCAATTCATATCGACTCATCGACTTATATCGATTCATATCAACTCATGAGGCCAATCGACTCATATCGACTCATATCGATTCATATCAATTCATATCGACCTATCGTCTAAATCGACTCATTTCGACTTATCGACTAAATCGACTCATATATCGACTCAAATCGTCTTATCGACTAAATCCACTGAACCGGTGGACTCATGATGCCAATCGACTCATAACGATGCATATCGACTCATAACGCACATCCATTCATATCGACTAAATTGACTCCAATCGACAATAGAGTCGATTTTAGTCGAATTCGTTAATTTTATTTCATTATTAGTCAGCTTTTCACACCCAAATTATTCAGATAAAGTTTCAACGATCACAGAAAAACATTGATTTCTCGCGTCACGATCTCTGGACTAACAAAATCTCTTGAATTTTTTCTTTTCTTTGGTCGCCGCTTGAAAAATTTCCAGGGTACAAGCTACTTGCCACAGCTTCACCTTTCAGCAGATCGTAGCCAATGTTTATTAAGTGCCCAGGAGGCTGTTTCTCTCTGGGTCCTTGCCACACGTAAGGTCGGTATTCCAGCAGCAGCGAGGCAAAAAATAACGTGAAATGAAAATAATTATTCAAATCCCTTTTCGAATTTTATCCCCTTTTTTATTACCTCTACTCTTATCAAAATTGCACGCAGTATGAAGAAAAGATTGATTACGTCATCCCCACAGTTTTATTATCAGTTGGAAATCCGAGCTGTTTCTATTCTTTTTTAGTTGTCAAATTAATTTTTTTTTCGGTACCTCACCTGCGGTTGCCTCATGAGCATGAAATCTGATCTGTAGAATTTTATTTACAAGTCTCTGTGCATTCTATCATTGCATCAGACAGCGTACGAGTACACGGAAGAAACAGCCTCTACTCATTTTTCTTTTTTCATTGTGGTTATTTATTGATTTGATGTTTTTGACATTTGCCTTTCTCTTTTATTTTTTGTAGCCACTCTGTTTATGAGTGCTCCTGGCTTTTGGTGTTTTATCCATTACGTTGCGTAATTGTTTGTGAGACTGAGTGATTGGAGTGTAGATTCAAAAAGTAATTTTTATGCAATTTCTCATGTACTTTTTCCACTATTTTTCTCTCCGTGCATTATTGGCATTTTCGGTATTCTGACATTTTGAATTATATCTGATATTGCAATTATAGACGAGTTATATCGAGAAAAGCAAAAAATAGCATCTGCAGACTTAAAAGGGCTTTATATGGCATTTTACCGTGTATTTATATCACTGTTTAACATTTTTAAAAATGAATTGGCACGTTTGGTCCGTGGTAACGCGTCAGATCAATGACCAGTAAGTTGCAGGTTCGAATCCTCTTTGGAACATTTTTTTTTTTCTTAAATAATAATACGATTCACTTATTACTTAATAATTAATACATCAAATCAAATAATTACAATTCAAGTATGATTATTGATAAATTATTTCTAAAAACAAATAATTTTTTGCGCGAAATTCAAAACTCGAAATGACCGTCAATGAATCAACGCAAGTAAAGAAATTTATTTCTTTTTTTCTCTCACTTCACTGTTTCAAATTTTCTCATGTTCACATAATTCTTATTGATTCTAATCGATGGAATTGTTATTCAGGCTATGTACCGGAGGATTGTGGAGTCTCGGAAGAAAGGAACCCTCGATCCCGAGATAACTCTTCAATTTTTGAAATCCGCAATCTACTACTTCCTGACTGATAAAGAAAATCACCACGGCCACTTGAACGCCATCGAGAGCATCCTCGGCTTCACCGACAACGAGAAATTAAACATCGATAAAATCTATCGCTCCACAAGGAAATAATCCGTCAGCTTCAGCCCATCGACTCCCTCCATTTTTATTGATTTTCCAGTAAGTCATTTTTAATAATTCATCGTGATGTCATCATAATGAAAGGGTTATCCATGTCAACGGTTTTCGCTGAATATCTTGAAATCCCTAAGAGATATGATGAATGTCATAGGGACATTTTTTGTAAATTGCATTCCGCTTTATTTAAGTTGTTTTATCAAAAATTCCGATATCTCTCACGGATTCCAAGATATTCAGCGAAAATTGACATGGAAAATTCTTGCGAATCGTGTCATCTTTTCCGTGTTGATGGCATCTCGGTTTTTTTTTTATAAAAAACAAATTAAAAATTGAAGCGCAATGAGTAATTTCGCTTGTTGAGGCCCGTCTTGCCCCTCCAATATGCTACAATGACCAGACCTTATCAATGGACTGATTACACGTGGAAATTGTAGGGAAATTTAATGAAAAATGAAAAAAATTCCACGTCTCAAATATTTTTTGTGAATGCATTTTTAAGTCTTTATTTATTTAGTTAATTCATCCACTGATTATCATTAAACACATTCTACAGATTATTTATTATCGACTTTCTTTGTCGTGTGATCGATCGATTGATAAAATTATTGAATTATATTTCGGTTGTAATTTATTTATTTATTCAGCAATTGTGCGGTTTTCCATGAAATTTTTAGGGATTCAACACTTATTCGTAATTTATCAATTACTAATAATCAATCGTCTACTCTTGAATAGTTGGATTGACAATTTTATCAGTAGAATTTGTTAATCAACAAATTAGGGCAATTGTCAGAGTTCTTTAACGATTGATGAGTCGATTGAGAAAATGATTTGGAAATTCCTGTGGATTTTCATTTTGAACCTCAGAATGCAAACGTTTTTTTCGTACTGCTCTTGACTTTTTGAAAAAGTGAAAATCCCTATGGAAATCGTTCATCAGTAGTGCCATAGGGATTTTTAAACGACCAAAAGTCCCTATGACACTCGATATGAAATTTACTCATCAATTGGTGGAGATCTCGACAAAAAGTTTTTGAAGAAGATATTTCGCTTTGTGACGTCGTGTTTTCAATTTTTCTTAACTTATCATCGATTTATTAAGAGGAGAGACATATCGGAGTCTTGGGTAATTATGGGAATATCGATATTCCGTTGAGAGAAAAACCAACAGCTTCTATGAAAAATCTTATAACCAAAAATCATCCCCGGAAAATTACAAAAAAAAAATTGCGACCGGTCTGAAGTAGCGTTTTTTGTCAAAAAGTATTCCTCAAATTTTTTTGTTGACAATTCTTAGAGATCGAGTCGTTATGTTTAAAAAACGAGAAGTGGCACGTGATTTAAAATGAATTAATTACTTCCTTGTGATTGATATTTCTCCTGATACTTTTGGAATAAAATGAAGTCTTAATTTGTTGAGTAAAAAGATATATAAATCATTAAGTGTCATTTATCCTTGTCATCAAAATCGAAAATTTTCAGGAGCTGTTTGGTTTTTCTCTTGAGTAGAATTAAAGGGACTTATTTATGAATTTTAAAGGTTAATGGCACTCCAGAGTGTCAATCCAGAAAACCGCTTTTAGGTCGTCCCTTTTAGGGTGATATCGAGACTGAAGGGAAATGTTTTGCCTTTTTATCAATGTGAATTATGAATAATGCAACTGAATGATTGAGCATTTGAAAAATGTATAAATATGAGTTATGAATAATAAAAATGATTGAGAAGTATTGAAGTGTGTTTTATTTATTAAATTATCCGTCAATGTCCTAAAAATCCTTCATCATAGATCATTTATGAAGCGCCATCTTGAAAAAGGCAGTCAACAAAATGGCGGAAAATCATGTCTCAACTCTCATTGGCTCGATTCTGATTGGCTCGATTCTGATTGGCTCGATTCCGATTGGCTCGATTCTGATTGGCTCGATTCCGATTGGCTCGATTCTGATTGGCTCGATTCCGTTTGGCTCGATTCTGATTAGCTCGATTCCGATTGGCTCGATTCTGATTGGCTCGACACTCTATTGGCTTCCACGAGTCCACCAATAAAACAGGAGAAATATTTGTGGAAAATACCGTGCCACCTACTCGGCTGTTCTATGCTCCTGATACAAATCTTTAAAATTTGAGTAAAATTTCCGCCCATTCGTTGAAATACCGCGCCACCTCCTCGCACATCATGTGCTCCTGATACAAATCTTTAAAATTTGAGTAAAATTTCCGCGCATTCGTTGAAATACCGCGCCACCTCCTCGCACATCATGTGCTCCTGATACAAAACTGGCATTTCAGATTCAAATTTTAGCGAAATTTTACGTGGAATTTTCTGGATTTGTATCAGGAGCACATGACATGCAAGGAGGTATTTCACGAAAGTAACCCAGAGTTGAAATTTTTCGTAAAATTTCCTGATTTGTATCAGGAGCACATGACATGCGAGTAGGTATTTCAGAAACAAAGCCAAACTTCGATTTTTAGGCGCATTTTTCAAATTGTATCAGGAGCGCAGAAGAGCGAGGAGGTATCCGATGTTTTCCAGAATTCCAACATGGAGAAAAATCGACTAATAGAAATAAACACCTCTTCTTTTTTATAACAATAAAATTAATAATAATTAATAATAATAGATAACTTTGGATTAAAAAGGGAGAGGGATATATAATTAATACACATTTCATAGTTTTTTTTTGTTTTTTATTCAGTTTTTTTAATGTCAAATAGTAATGTACATTACTTCCAGGTTCACTTCTTTCCAGCAAGGATAATACCGTCGTATTTCTGCTGGAACCACTTCATGGCGTCTTCCTTGGTTAGTCTGTGAGGAAAACCAACTTTTCCAGTTTTCCTTCTCCTGTGGGCAACGTTGAAGCCTAAAAAACAAATAAAAAGTTATTAGTAACAATTGTAAAATTTTTGCATTAAACTTAATTATTTAAATACATATTTTTGTCGCTCCAATTAAGTAACACACCCAGGAGATATTGTGGGCATGGGTTGCAAATATGAAGCTCTCAATCTAGCACATGTTTATTAAAAAATAAATGTAGACAATTGTTTATTGTAACAATTCTCGACGATACCAGAAATGTGCAAAAATAAAAAAATCCAGAATATTCTGTGAATCATTAATTAATTATTCGATTAATCGATATTAATTAATTAGTCGATTAATCGATATTAATTAATTATTCGATTAATCGATATTAATTAATTATTCGATTAATCGATATTAATTAATTATTCGATTAATCGATATTAATTAATTATTCAACGATTGTAAAAATCATTGAAACCGAAGAATCTGCCATGAAGTTATTATTTTATTTTAATGAATGATTTTAATGAAAAAATGAAAGGATATTATCCTGTGATTGCATTTCTCCACAAAAAATTCTCCAGCAAATTAATTAGTTATATGAATTATCCTCACCTGGACGTCCAAGAACAACGTAGAAGTCAAGACCATAAATACCGATGCTGGGATCGTACTTGATACCCAAGTCGATGTGTTCCTGAATACCAAAACCGAAGTTGCCAGTACCAGAGAAGTTCTCCTTCCTCAACTCGTACTCACGAACCTGAAAAAACAATCAAATTTCAGTCAATTCGATATTTACATAAAAAAACAATAGATACTTTTTTCCCGAGAATTTAATCAGCAACAAAAAATTCCCCTACAACTTCTCCCTAGAGCCCATACTTTTTCGGATAAATCGAAATTTATGAAAAATATCAATGAAGTACCTTGAGTCCGCGCTCGAGAATTTCCTCGGCCTTGGCACCACGTACTGTGCAGTGAACAGCTATTTTTTCGTTACGACGAATACCGAATGATCGGACAGTGTAACGTGCCTTGGAAAAAACAGGCTGCTGTCCAGTCAATTGCTCCAGTACTTTGGCAGCACGAGTCAGTCTGTCACCAGACTCACCAACGCAAATGTTGAGGCACAATTTGCGAATTTTCACTTCCCGCATGACATTCTTGGCGGCATCTTTGGGTTCTTTCTTCGTTTTATTTTTCTTAGCGACTTGTTTAGCCGGGGCTGCCGCCTTTGCGTCCTGAAAAAAAATATTCAATCATTGTATTATTTATATTGTTTATTATAAAATTCTCATCAATACCCATCAATTTCCCTTTGAATGGATTCTCTCAATCTGAACTTTATCATTTTCTAAAACCAATTTAATTCAAATATTTATCCCATTTTAACGTGTAGTTTATTTTTTAAATTGTTATTAACTCTATAGTCTTTATTTTCCATTCAAAGGAAAAAAGATTATTAATTAACTATCAGGGGGTAATGAGGGGTTCAAAACTCAATAATTCCCAAATTGTTGTTGATCAATTGGAATTATTAACACAGACCGAAAATTTTGCAGTTGGTAATGCCTGCAGAAATGCGTAATCGAAAAGTTTTGAAAAATGAAATTGTGAGGTTTTTCGTCTGATAATCTAAACGCCATTTTAACATCAACAAATTCATGTTTTTAAATAAATAAATGAGATTTAATTCCCTCGGTGCGTGGAAAAACACGAAATCGTAACCTCAAACACCTGTCATCAGCCCTCGATTTTCAATCATTTCTCCACTCACAAATTCACAAATATTATCACAGAACAATCCACCGATTATCCAACTTTTACATCAGCTCAGTAGATTTCATTAATGTATCGGGATTGAAGGGATTTCAACAGATTTATTTTTGTTTTATTCAATAGACGTACACTCACCGCCATCGTGGAGAGAAAAGGAAATCCTCCGCTGCGCGACCTATCGAGAAAACTCGATAACTAAAATCGAGAGGTTGAATTTCATTGGTGCTTTCGTCAGCCAATCAGATTCGTCCTTTTGAATTTGGGAATTTTCTCCAGCTTGTCAGTGCTGACCTCTGCCTTCTGTAACAGATATTTTATTTTTTTTATGAATCGTTAGGATTTTTATGAGGGAAAAGATACTTCAAGCGAATGAAAAGCAAATATTTTTATGTACATTCTGTAAATAAAGATTAAAAACTCAATTTACTTCTATTTTTAATTTTTAAAACGTACAAAAAAACAAATTATTCATGAAAAAATTGTTAAAATAATAATTAAAATTTTTGGAATTATGGAATGTAATTATTAATTATTGGGAATTTTTTTCAAGTGAAAAAATTTAAAAAATTGATTTTTTTTTAAGTAAAAAAAATATCATTCAGTGGTTGATTCGTTGGGAATTAATTTGTTTAATGATTCAATTGATTGTGCGTTACCTTTGAATTGGCAAGTAAAGAGTTAGTGGGCGCAGGGTATTTACTTTATTGAATTGAAGTGAAGACGATCTCGTGACCGTAGCCTGAGCTCTCGACGGGGGAGTCGAGTGAGTGGGTCAGTACGAATAGTAAGAGATGCTTGTGAAACCCTCGGAAGACTCCTTAGTCCTCAGAGATTCGCAAGCATCATCACAGGTACATTAATGCACGTGAATGTCCGTCTAAAACACTTCAGAACAACGTTAGGTGGGCTTGAGTGCCTGAAGTTCCGAGAAAATTTCCATTGACAGAAAAAAGTTTTAATTTTCTAGAATTTGTTCGTAATTTTCTAGAAATTGTTTCTAATTTTTCGGAACTTGTTCTCAAATTTCCAGAGCTTGTTTTCAAATTTTCAGAAATTGTTCTTATTTTTTCAGAACTTGTTCCTAATTTTCCGAAATTTGTTCCTATTTTTCCGGAACTTGTTCTGAAATTTCCCGAATTCGTTATTAATTTTTCAGAATTTGTTCTCAAATTTGCAGAACTTGTTCCTAATTTTCCGAAACTTGCTATCAAATTTGCAGAACCTGATCCTAATTTTCTGGAACCGGTCCTTAATTTTGCAGAATTTGTTCTTAATTTGTCAGAACATGTTCTCAAATTTGTAGAACTTGTCCCTAATTTTCCGGAACTTGTTCCTAATTTTCCGGTACTTATTCTCAAATTTCCAGAACATGTTCTTAATTTTTTTCAGAACTTGTTTTCAAATTTACGGAACTTGTTCTTATTTTTTCAGAACTTGTTCTCAAATTTCTAGAACTCGTCCCTAATTTTCCGGAACTTGCGTTTAATTTTCCAAAACTTGTTCTTAATTTTCCGAAATTTATTCTCAAATTTCCAGAACTTGTTCTCAAGATTTGCAGAACTTATTCTCAAATTTCTAGAACTCGTCCCTAATTTTCTGGAACTTCCACTTAATTTTCCAAAACATGTTCTTAATTTTCCGAAACTTATTCTCAAATTTCCACAACTTGTTTTCAAAATTTTCAGAACTTGTTCTTCACTTTTCAGAACTTGTTCTCAAATTTCTAGAACTCGTCCCTAATTTTCCGGAACTTCCACTTAATTTTCCAAAACTTGTTCTTAATTTTCCGAAACGTATTCTCAAATTTCCACAACTTGTTTTCAAAATTTGCAGAACTTGTTCTTCACTTTCCAGAACTTGTTCTCGAATTTCTAGAACTCGTCCCTAATTTTCCGGAACTTCTACTTAATTTTCCGAAACTTGTTCTTAATTTTCCGAAACTTATTCTCAAATTTCCAGAACTTGTTCTCAAAATTTGCAGAACTTATTCTCAAATTTCTAGAACTCGTCCCTAATTTTCCGGAACTTCCGCTTAATTTTCCAAAACTTGTTCCT